TTTGGCGCCTGCCTTTGGCCCAGGGCGCGATCCTGGAGACCCGGGATCGAATCCCACATCAGGCTCCCGGTGCATGGAGCCTGCTTCTCCCTCTGCCTGTGTCTCTGCCTCTCTCTCTCTCTCTCTGTGACTATCATAAATAAATGAAAATCAAAAAAATTAAAAAAAAAGATTTTATTTATTCATTGAGACAGAGAGAGAGACAGAGAGAGGCAGAGGGAGGATAAGCAGGCATCATACAGAGAGCCTGACGTGGGACTCCATCCAGGGTCTCCAGGATCACGCCCTGGGCTGCAGGCGGCGCTAAACCGCTGCGCCTCCGGGGCTGCCCTCTTATTATTTCTAATGATTTATTGTATGTATTTTTGGAAGTTCTTTAAAATTTTTTAAAATTTAAATTCAATTAATTGACATATAATGTATTATTGGTTTCAGAGGTAGAGGTCAGTAATTCATCAGTCTTATATAACACCCAGTGCTCATCCCATCATGTGCCCTCCTTAATGCCCATCACCCAGTTATCCCATCTCCCCTCACCGCCCCTCCAGTAACCCTCGGTTTGTTTCCATGATTAAGAGTCTCATGGATGTCTCCCTCTCTGATTTTGTCTTATTTTTCCCTCCCTTCCCTCTGTTTTGTTTCTTAAATTCCACATATGAGTGAGATCATATAATTGTCTTTCTCTGATTGACTTATTTTGCTTAGCATAATACCCTCTAGTTCCATCCATATCATTGCAAATGGCAAAGTTTATTTATTATTATTATTTTTCTGAGGGCTGAGTGTAGCCCATTGTGTGTGTGTGTGTGTGTGTGTGTGTGTGTGTGTGTGTGTATATATATATATATATATATATATATATATATATATCACATCTTCTTTATCCATTCATCTGTTGATAGACATCTAGGCTCTTTCCATAGTCTGGCTATTGTGTGTTTGCTGCACAAACATTGGGTGCAGGTGCCCCTTTGGATCACTACATTTGTATCTTTGGGGTACATACCTAGTAGTGCAATTGCTGGGTCATAGGGTAGCGCTATTTTCAACTTTTTGAGGAACCTTATTTTTGGAACTTCTACATAGGTAATCATATCACTTGCAAACATTGTGAGTTTTATCACCTGCTTTAGATCCCTATGACTTCTGGGTTTCTTTACTTTTTTTTTTTTGAGAGAAAGAGAGAGAGAGACACACACACAGAGAGAGACAGAGAGAGAGAAGGAAAGAGGGAATATTAAGTAGGCTCCATGATCAGCACAGAACTCCACTTGGGGCTGAATGACTCTGAAATCATGACCCAAACTGAAACCAAGAGTTGGATGCCCAACTGACTGAGCCACTCAGGTGCTCCTCCTATGCCTTCTGTTTTTCTTGTCTTATGGCATTGCCTTGGCTTTTCAGCACAAAAACAGCTACAGAAAATGAAAATGAGGATGCTTGTTTAGCCCCTGAATTTAAAAGGAATAATTTCACATTTCAAGGAAACACTCTAGCTGTATATGCCTCTGTAAATTTCAACCATGAGTTATTTTGAAATGTGGTTTTAATTTTTCAAATATATACTTTTAGTTACATTTTTATCACTTATTTTTAATCTAATTTCATTATGGTTGCAAAATGTGGACTGTATTCTGGGGTGTCGTGTGCTCAGTCTGTGGTACCCAGATTCCCTTGTGGGTAGGGGTGGTTATTTTTCTAAAGTTCTGCCAGGGTGATAGAGGCCCAAGTGTTTAGTGTGACTCAGGTCATGATCTCAGAATTGTGAGATCGAGCCCTGTATCAGGCTCATGTACTGGACATGGAGACTGCTTAAGATTCTCCTTCTCCCTCTCCCTCTGCCCCTCACCACCCTAAGAAAAAAAGTCCTTTTTCACTTTGACACAAATAGTTTGACTGACATGATATTCTGAGTTGGATATCCTTTGTCCTCAGAATTCTGAAGGCATTGCTCTATTACCTTCTAGATTTTACCATGGTTAAAGAGTCTGAAGCCACTGTGCTAACTGTGATGAATGATTTATTGCTTCTGTTTTGCTAGTGCTTGTCTTTATTCCTAGCAACTCCAGGACTACAGTGAGGAGACTCACAGTGTGTTTACTTTCAGCCATTTGTTCTGTGAAGTGAGTGGCCCCTGCAATCTAGAAATTCATGGGAAAACTTCTTAGATTTCATCATGGATGATTTCCTCCTCTGTTTTCTCTGCCTTTCTAGAGAAAGTTGTTTGTTTGTTTAAAATTTAAAATTAAAAAGATTTAAATTAAATTTTAAATTAAATTTATTTACATTTTAAAAATTTAAATTAAAAAATATGACACACAATGTCATATTAGTTTCAGGTGTACAACACAGTCTAGAGCTTTTTTTATTAAAGATTTTGTTTATTTGAGAGAGAGAGAGAGAGAGAGCATGTGAGAGCATGAGTGGGGGGGAGGGACAGAGGGAGAGGGAGGGGGACAAATAGACTTCCAACTGGCTTCCAGTGGAGCCAGACAAGGGACTTGATCCCAGGATTCTGAGATCATGACCTGAGCCAAAGTCAGACCTTAATCAGCTGAGCCCCTCAGGCACTCCTGGATTTTGATTTTTAAGTTGTTGCTGGTCTAGTCAAGCTTTTAATTATTTTATGATCAATTTCAAATTTTATGTTTTTCCAGAAATGTATCCATTTTTTTTAGAGCGGGGAGGGGCAGAGGGAGAGAAAGAATCTTAAGCAGGCCCCATGTCCAGCACATGAGTCTGATGTAGGGCTTGAGCTCACAATCCTGAGATCATGACTTGAGTTAAAATCAAGAGTCAGATGCATAAGTGACTGAGGCATCCAGGCACCCATAGAAATGTATCTGTTGAAGTTATCAAATTTATTAGCAGATATTATTCATAACACTTTAATTCTGAAAATCTTTTTTGGGTCTCCAGCTATTTCTAATTTGTTTTCTTTCTTTTTTATTTGTACTTCTTAACTTTTCTCTTGATTAGTTTTTCTGGAAATTTATATATCTTACTCTTTTTTCTCCTAAGAAAAAGCATTTTATTTTGTTCTTTCTTGCTCTAATTTCTTCTTTTAATTGACTTCTGCCTGTCTTTCTTAAGATGATATTAGCTATTCTAATAGATAGATACATTCCCAAATCACAGAGAATAAAAGTTGATTTCTTATTCATCTCACAGACCAACAGATCGTCAGGGGCAACTTTGTGCAGGACCATTCAGGGAGCCAGGCTTTCTCCATCTCATGGCTCTGCTATCCTAAGGGTTCAGTGTCCTGTGCTTCCAGCGGTGGATAGCAAAGAGGAAGTGTGGCTCATGGGAGAGTCTATAGCCAGGTCTGGAACAAATCTGGACCAGCACACATCATTTCTGCCTCCATTTTCTGGGCAAAAATGGGGTCTACCTGAGGATCCAGGAAGAGAAGAAAATAAGTTTCTGTGAGCACAGAGTAGCTCTACCTCTCTGCCTTTACCTTTGTCATTTCCTTCCTTCTTACTGTTTGGTGTTTGCCGAAAGATAGTGCCAGTTACATTCCCCACCTCCACTCCCATCCCAGGAACCAACGAGAGTGGCCTTTCCTTCAGTGTCCTCACAGTGTCTGTCATTCCTTTTATTTTTGTCAATCTGGTGGTAAAATAAATATATCCCCTTGTCATTTTAATTTGCATTTCTTTGGTTGTTAGGTATGTTGAACAATTTCACATTTCATTTTTGTCCATTTGTGTTTCTTCTTTCATGAATTTATCACTGACATTTTACATCCCTCATCTATAGATAGGATTATAAATAACTTTCTGGTTGATTTCAAAGACTTCTTACATATTACATGCAACAATGTTTTGAATATATGTTCATATATAGATCTTTTTTCTTAGTTTGTCTTTTTACTTTGTGTTGTTTTATTTTATGTTATAATTTTTTATATTGTCAGATTTTTCAGTCTTTCTTGTATGGTTTCTGCTATCAGGTCATGCTAAAAGTGTTCTATTATCCAGGTTAAATACATATTTCATATAATTTTCTTGTAGAACTTTTCTAACTAGTATCCTTCTAGGAAAAAAAATAGTTAAAAATCAAGCCAATTAATGGAGCTACCCTACACTTTTCTTTTATTCTCTCATGGCCAATCCATGAGCAAACCCCATAGTTTCTCCCTATCAAGTTTATCTGGTCAGTTACCACCATCTCTACTAGGCCCCCATCATTTCTCACGTAGATTTTTGCAATAGCTTCCCAGCTAACTTCTCTGCATCTACCCTTGCTTCCCTACAGTGCATTGTCCATATAATAAGAATAACCCTTTAAATCTGTAGATAGGCTCCAAACCTTTCAATGGCTTCCCTCCCCACAGTAAAAGACAAATTCATAAAATGGTCCATACGGTGCCCTGAGATCCAGTTCATCCCTCTCCCTGACCCCCACTCCTGAGACTCTTCTTTTCTAACTTTCCTCTACTATACTCAACTCCTTGCTATTTACTGACCATACTCTCACCTGCAGATCTGTGTATGTTTTACCCCTCTGCTTGAGTGTTCTCCCTCCAGAGCACTAGATGCCTTGTTTCTTCCCTTCTTTTATGCTTTTGCTTAAATGTCTCCCTATCAGTGAAGCCTTCTCATTCCCCTGTAGGAAACAGCAGCTCACTACTCCCAGATAGATGTCACTTTCCGATCAGTCAGGGTGTGTTTGGGAAAGTGGATCACAAATCATTCAGGATTATGGGAATTATAGGGCGCAGACCCTACACATTGGTGAAATCTGGGGAACAAATCTGTCAGGTGGACTTGACAGCTGGGCCTGGGCCTAAAGTTACTGTAAGTCAGTGGGGCTGATGACTGAAAGAAAGGATTGGATTTGAAGGAAGGGAGAATGAGGACAAATGGAGACCCAGAGGGCAAGGTGGAGCCTGCTATTGCCTCTCAGTCTTCTCCAACCTCAGCTGTGAGGGTGGACTGCAGGATGAGCTGTGACTTTTGGCCCAGGACTCTGGAGACTGAGTCACAGGAGCTATGGACCAGGAGCTGCCCCACACCAAACAGGTGAGTCTAGCAACAAGGCACCTGGGCTGCAGTGGCACCAGCACCAGCCTTCAGGGGTACCATGCCTGTGGCTTCAGTTCTGCTTCCAAATCTTGTGTAGGTTGCTCTCATGGTGAATTGTATCCTGAAGCCATGAGGTAAATGAATTTGGAGAAGTACAATTCTAGCTTACCTGAGTTGATAACAATATAAAACCAGTACACCACCTTCCCTATCTCCACCATCCTTATCTTTTTCCTCCCTAGCACTTGTCATCGTGTGACACTTGATCTATTTATTTGTTTGCCTCCATCCCTCCAATGGAATGTAAGCTCTCTGAGCACAGGGATTTTGTTCATCTTTTTTATTCTGGTATCCCCAGCCCTAGAACAGTGCTTGACATAAACCGTAGGTAGTAAGTATTTCTGGATCTGGAATTTATTGAATAGTGTATACCAAACTCTGCTTTAAGTCCTTTCAAAAGATTAATTCATATAATCCTTAGAAATACCTAGTGAGGGAGTCACTGATGTTAAACACTTTGGGGATGAAAAATCCAATACTTGTAGAAGTTTTGCAACTTAATTCAGATGGCTCATGAAGGGCAGAATTGAACCAGAAACCTAGATGGTGGGGCTCTATATAGGAATAGGACTTTGGGATTTAAATGCCATGAAAACTAAAATTCAGTAGAAGTGTGTATGACTCTATATGACTCTTCTCCCATTTCATTCACTTATTTTTAATACAGATGTATCATACAGAAAATAACTTTTTAACACAGAAAAAAGGCTCAAACACTCAAAAGAGTTAAATTAAGTTTGATAACTTGCATATGATATACTGAAAAATGGATAAGACTTAGTATAATTAGGAAAATAGTAAAAATTAATCAAGCAAATTTTACTTGTGAACTATTTAAAGTTATACCCAACAGAAGCAGAACCCAAATATTTGCAAAAGTCTTCAGAAGAGCTACATTCATAGTACTGTGTAGGAAGCCACTCTCTTTAATAAATGTTTCTCAGGAACACTTCTGAATAAGCAAACTGATTTTGAAGGGAGTAGGAGGTCAACATTAGCTATACTGGGGAGTCTGTGTAGCTCAGTTGGTTAAGCATCTGCCTTTGGCTCAGGTCATGATTCCAGGGTCCTGGGATTGAGCCCCATGTTCGGCTCCCTGGTCAGTGGGAAGTCTGCTTCTTCCTCTCCTTCTCATACCTCTCTTTACCCTTGTTCATGCTCTCTGAGAGAGAGAGAGAGAGAAGAGAAAAGAAAAGAAAAGAAAAGAAAAGAAAAGAAAGAAAAAGAAGAAAACCTTTAGCTAAACTGCTCTGTTGGGGATCCCTGGGTGGCTCAGCGGTTTAGCGCCTGCCTTTGGCCCAGGGCATGATCCTGGAGACCTGGGATCGAGTCCCACAAAGGGCTCCCGGCATGGAGCTTGCTTCTCCCTCCTCCTGTGTCTCTGCCCCTCTCTCTTTTTCTCTCTCTCTATGTCTATCATAAATAAACAAATCTTTAAAAAAAATAAACTGCTCTGTTGCCTGGGGTGGTCTCTCCCAGAAGCCATGTGACTCCAAGGTGTTCCCACACTCTTCTTGGGACTAGAGGTACCTGGGAAAAGGAATGCCCAAGCGTCTTCAAATGTGGCTTGGGACACTCACACTTCATCTTGTGAGGATGGCCTGACCCTGTGGGACACTCACCAAAGTGGAGGCCAAGGCTGGAAGACAGTATTGGTCTTCTCAAGGATCCATCTTCCCAGTGACCAGAGAACATGGTACAGACTCCAGGAGAGCTCACAATCACTGACAGTTCCTCTGTCAGCTTTCCCTGTCAGTCAGTCAGACTCCTGGATGTTACCACCTGACTCAGGACCAAACACATGTTCTGGCAGCTCTCATACATCCTATTCTCATGTCTTCATTCTCTCAATTTTATAGAAAAGCCCCAGAAACTCAACCCACTCCCTGTGGACTTCAAGCAGTGTTATGTTCAAGGCATTGAAAGTAAGAATGTAGGGATCCCTGGGTGGCGCAGCGGTTTAGCGCCTGCCTTTGGCCCAGGGCGTGATCCTGGAGACCCGGGATGGAATCCCACATCGGGCTCCCGGTGCATGGAGCCTGCTTCTCCCTCTGCCTATGTCTCTGCCCCCACCCCTCTCTCTGTGACTATCATAAATAAATAAAAAAAAATTAAAAAAAAGAAAGTAAGAATGTACAAACACCCTCACATGTATACCACATACCCATTCATGCATGCACACGCACACACACACTACACAGATGCGTACACGTACTTATGGTCTAAATAAATATGCACATTCATGTGTACACACACTCACACGGCTTTTTCCAGGTACACATATTACTACTATATTCTTTGCTTTTCCTATGCATGTGGAGGTGAATGACACAATGGGACAGACATGCATGGCTGACCTGAGCATGCTGAGATTGCAGGACCAGAATGGATAGAACATTCTCCAAGTCTTTATATGCTTCTACTCTTTTGTGGATTGTATGTCATTTTCATAAAAGAACAAAAAGTGATAAATAGTGGGTTGGGTGACTATGTAGAGAAAGAAAGCCATGCCAAAGAGATAGAAACTGATTCTGGAAGCAGTGAGGCATTATGGGTACTTGTTTAAAATTAAATGCACTTAGAAAAATAATAGGACTTCTGGTATCCAGGCTGGCATATAAGGAGCTTAGAAGTTGTGATGCATCCTAACAGCAAGTAAAATTCTTGAACAAACTGAAAAATTAACAATTCTTTGTAGATCTATGAGAGAAGTGAGGTCCCAGAGTGAATGCTATGCCCAAATTCGAGAGACATACAGGCAGATACAAGAATCACAGTTTACTGGAGCAAAAACCCAAGCGCAGAAACTTCTTTTGGGACCAATACGAGGGTAGGAAAACCTGAACTGGCATTGATGAATTGCTAGAGGCTCAGTGTGGACAAATCTGAGCAGTAAAACATGGGGGCCCATAAATAGGGAGGTCCCACACTTTTGTGAGTTTTACCTTCAGGATCTGTACCAGGTTCTTGCAGTGAATATTGGAGAAAAATCCCCTGGTGCTCCTAGCTGGGGAAGAAGAATTATTTTTAAAAATACCAGAGCATTCTGTTTTTCCTCGAGTTTTGTTCTCAAGAGAAACCATTTTATCAGAGCCTATTAGAGTTTTGTCAGAGTCCAACTAACCTGGGAGAAGGAAAATACTCAACTCCTGTGTGATTTAGCCTCCTATGTGCAAAAAGGGAAATATCCAACTGTAGTCCCCTTTAGTCATCCTGTTCCACCTAAGAAGGAGAGCAAAAATCACACTTGAAGTCCACAGTTCAGGGGCACTAGTGCACTCAAAGGCTGAGTTCTTATCAGTCTTGTACTCCCCTTACACTTTAACACCATGTTACTAAAGTCCTGTTTACCACAATACTTGTACTCAATGCCTCATGTCTAGCTATCAAAAAAAGATTACAAGGCATACTAAAAGGCAATAACACACAGTTTGAAGAGACTGAGCAAGGATCAGCAAGAACTAGACTTAGATACGGCAGGAATGGTGGAATTATCAGGTCAGGAGTTTAAAAAACTGTCATGAATGTACTAAGTGCTATAATGAAAAAGTAGACAACATTCAAGAAAGTGGAAAATGTGAGCAGAGAAGTGGAAATCCTAAGAAAGAATAAAAAAGAATTGCTAGAAATAAAAAACTCTGTAATGGAAATGAATAATACCTTTGATGGATTCCTTAGTAGACTGAACATTGCTGAGGAAAGAATCTCTGAGTTTGAGGATATGTCAATTGAAACTTCCAAAACTGAAAAATCAAAGAGAAAAAGGACTGAAACAAAAAACCAGAACCAAGTATCCAAAAATCATGGGACAACTACAAAATGAGTGGCATGTGTAAAAAGAAATACCAGAGGAAGAAGAGAGAAGAAAATGAAGAATATATTTGAAACAATAATGACACTAACTAAAACAAAGCAGGATTACCTATACTAATTTCAGACAGAGCAGGCTTCAAAGCAAGGATAGTTATTAGGGATAAAGAAGGACATTATATAATGATGAAAGGGTCAGTTCTCCAAGAAGACAAAATAATCCTTCAGGTCTATGTACTTAACAACAGAGTGTCAAGTTACATGACACAAAAACTGTTAGAACTGCAAGGATAAATAGATACATCCACTATTATAGTTGGAGACTTCAACATCCTTCTATCAGAAATGGACAGATCCAGTGAGCACATAGTTGAACTCAACAACATCATCAATCAATATAATTGACATCTATAGACTACTTTATTTGACAACAGCAGATACATGAGAAGGTCTCAAGCTTACATAAAACACTTACCAAGATAGATCATATTCTGGGCCATAAAACCTTACCAAATTAAAAAAATATGTAAACCATACAATATCTGTTCTGAGACCACAAAGAAATTACACTGGAAATCAATAACAGAAAGGTAACCCCTAAATACATGGAGATCAAACAACACACTTCTAAATAATATGTGAGTTAAAGAAGAACTCTCAAGAGAATTTAAAAAAATATTTTGAACTAAATGAAAACATGCCTTATCAAAATTTGTAGGATTCAGTGACAGCAGTGCTTATAGGGAAATTTATAGCATTGGTTGCATATATTAAAAATGAAAGATCTAAAACCAATAATCTAAATTTCCACTTTAGGAAGTTAGAAAGAGAAGAGCAAATTAAACCCTATGTAAGGAGACAAAATGAAATAATAAGAACTAGAGCAGATATCAGTGAAATTGAAAACAAATCAATAGAGAAAATAGTCAAAACCAAAAGCTGATTCTTTGAGAAGATTAATAAAATTGATTAGCCTCTGGCCAGGGTTACTAAGAGAAAAAAGAGAATACAGAAATTACTAAGACCAGATATGAGTTAAGGGAATCACTACAGATTTCACAGACATCAAAAGGATAATAAAGGAATGCTATGAACAATTTCATGCCTACAATTTAAAAAATTTTTAT